TCGCCGAGCATGCACAATCGTCATACATACGCGCTCGTCTTCTGCAACGTTCATGCTCCGTTTCACCGTCGAAACTCTGCCCACGAGGGACAGATCATTCGTGGTATACAATTATTAAAATCGATCTAATTGACCAATTACCGCTGTATTTCCGCGGCTTCGATATACTTTTCAACGGTATCGGAGAAAAATTATGGCTCCGGGGTGTCGTCTTACACTCGATTGATCATCGTACACGGTGACGTCGCTTCCTGTAGCCGCTTGCGTGCTTCTCTGTGCGCCGTTTCATGGTATTTCGTGTGTTTTACGTGTATCATTATCGAAGGTAATTAAAGGTTAAGGGTTAATTAATTTTAGATTTTTCGTTCATAATTTTGACGTCAGGAAATTATGAAACAGAGTAGCGATCTAATGTGTTACTTCATACAAGGGAAAATTATTCTTTGGAAAATTTCCTCACACCTTTCGATACAATAAAAAAAGAAGATAAGCAAATACTTATCTAATTAGAACACTACAAAAAGATACCAATCGCTTAACAGTCAAAGTGATTAACTCTATCTCAACAAAAAGCGGAGAAAATTTGATAAATTTCTATGTTATGCTGTCCTCTAAAATTTCGCAATTTTTTTGCAATTATTCAGATGAAAAATACCCGTGATAAATGGAAACGTTCTACCAGAATATAAATCACAAACTGAGCCAGTTACATCTAATACAATTTCAATCACCGTTTGATTTGCCAATGAATCATTTAACACTGCTACACAATGGTCATTAACATCGTATCTCTAACAGCGGAGAGCAAGCTCTCTTCTCACCTAAAGGGATACAGAGCAGATGAGAAGCCCACACTGCGAATCTTTCTTCTCGTGGAGGAGATGGGAGAGTAAATAACGAGGATAATCAATCGACCGTAGGAAGCAAAAGGAGTTCTGGAGGGGACAGGATGGGTGCGCCGGGAAATATGCTGGATGACGTACGGCGACGCCTCTGCGTGAGTCTTTTGGACGCCCGTACGTTGCACCGAGACGCCTCAGTGTCAACTTAATAAGACCGTCAACCTGTTTTACGCGACCAGGCGACGAGTCTTCAATTATCGTGCAAGTTTTAATGTAGCTGGACGCCAAAGGATGCGGAGGCATGTTCCAGGGTCATTAAATGGGTTAATCTGATGTATGTCACCAGTGTGTAAAGGGTAATAGAGACTGAGGATAAACTGTTCCTTAGAGCTCCGGATTATTTTCAGATGAAACGTTTCAACGATGACCGTCGTTTGTTATCGTAAGGAAATACTAACCCTTTGTGCAAATTAACTGAAAATAAAGCAAACTAACAGAGGCAATTAAAATAAATAAATTCGTAAACATTTGTAATTTGTTTCTTTTGAAATATTAAACTTTCAGTTTTCAAAAATTTCTCACTTCAAAAGTAAAGGGTTAAGATCTGGTTTAACCCTTTAACTCCTAATTTGGAATTTTGCGTTAAAGTAGAGATAGTACTGTTGTTAATACTTGCTGCAATCTGATTTACAAAAGAGGTGCAAAAGAAAAAAAGATTCCCACTCGAAAGTGCACGTACGTAAGAAAACTGAGTGCTCAAAGGGTTAAGGACAGGGAGGAACTTGAGATTCGATACTTTGGAGATTATTATCACGGGTGCACGTACGTAAGAAAACAGTGCTCAAAGGGTTAAGGACAGGGAGGAACTTGAGATTCGATACTTTGGAGATTATTATCACGAGATCTAGAGGTTGTTTGATTTTTCTCTTTTTCTTCGAGTTCTCAGAGTTTCTTTCGTGAAGATTCTATGGCAGTGTCTGCAGGCGCTTCCGGTACCACATTAGTTCCCCGCTGCGCTGAGGATTTTGCTTGACTTGAGCCGTGTGGGCTGCCGCTGACCCCACGGTTGCTGAACCCACTGTGAGCACTGGCTGTACGTGCAACGACGACTTGTGCGTTTAGAAAACGAACGAGAAGTGTGCTTTTTCTATTTACTTCTTATCCAACTGAATTACTCGTTTACACGGGATAAAATGAAAATTGTTCGTTCGAAATTTTCTTACCGTTCTCTCGTCAAATTTCCAATTTCACGACGATTTAAGTAACTCAATTAGTCTCTGACTAATTATCTCTTCCTTGTTCCACCACTTCGAGTAACATTTTTCTCCGAAATTTATTTCATACTCTCGTAGAGAAAGTTGTAGAAAGAAAATGTGTTACTCCTCCGCTATTACGATCCTGAAAAGTCATAACGCCGATAGTTAAGAAACTTCCCTCGCTATTACAAATTCCAGGAAGCCATCCAACTTCAACTTTTCCCCCCTGGTTCCACCGTAAACCCCCGTTTCGTTGCATTACAGAACATGGAAACGATAATGAGCGAGGTAGAAGAAAATTCTGAGGAAGTCGCGCGAAAAGTGGACCAGGACGCTTTCGAAAATAATAATCATCCGCTACGATGACTCGACGTGCTCTCTCACATTAATATCTTGTAAACGTTATTAAAGAGCAAATTCGATCTTTTCTTCCGCAAAAGTCTTTTTCGTTCAGCCCTAATAGCCTAATTAAGCTGGTAAAGCTGTTTTTTCTCCGTAGGATCTACGAGAACAATAAATCGATTAGACGACACCCACGACACTGTATATCGAGATTAACGCAATTTTTCTTGGGTACAGTAACTGTTTGTTTTTCTTCAGATATGCTATCTTTTGGAAGCTGAATTAACGACGAATAATTATTTCTCATGGATCGTAAGACAATCGAAGAGAATAGATTCTCATGATAGACGGATAGACGCTAAACGTCTCACGTACGGGGT